AATACTGGATTTTTTATCAATTGCTGAAGACGCTTTTGTAAGATGATCGAGTTCTGATAACTTCATTAGCTCTTTTATTATACCTTTCTCATATTCGCTATATGTGCTATTAGATATTTGCTCTTGTTTGCTTTCCATTATAGAGAAGTATTCTCTAACCAAATATTTATTATACAAGAAAAAAAAATATATAATAATACTCCTGAGCATTTTGTCACTCAACCACACTATGTCTCTTCTTTCACTAATAGCTTATTGGAGTGAGCTGGCTATGTAAGACGTACATTCATTTTGATATTTCTCTGGGAGTTTTGCCTTTATAGCTCTTTTTTCGGCCATTTCATGAGGGATACTATCTTTGATCATATTCCCTTTTTTGTATCTTCGATACTGCAAAAGATATTCTATCCTATTTGATTACCTTAATAGCTTTTCTTTTTTTTGAATGAATATGAGAAAAAGGATGACTAGATTGTCATTGCTATAAGCATTTGTTCTATTTTATCATCTGACCTTTTACGATTCTCCTCCTTAGCTATATGATAATATAATTCCTCTAAACTAGTATATAGATCATTATCTTCATACCTTTTACGATAATTTTCTAGCCTTTCAGTATATGCTTCTTCCTTAGAAAACATTTTTACTGCAAGTATCTTAATATAATTATTCAGATCCTTATCAGCTCGCAGTTTCTTTAGATAATCTCTATAATTTTTCATAAGATTATCATATTTTCTGCTTTTTCGCAATGATGTTTTTATGACTTTGACTTATGTAAGTTCTATATCCTTATGATCAACCATTTTTGTATGTTTCTACTATAGCAATAGAAAAACTTAAATTAATGAAAATATATTCTTTAGAAATTTTTTTTATCTGAAAAAAATATTTGTTATAAAATATCTATGTTTTGACATGAAGTTTAACTTTCATAGCCTTTTTTTCTGCTTCCTTAGAAGATATTTCAGATGCTATCAGTCGTTTATATAGTCTAATTTGCCAATGTCCATATGGGAGGGTTCGAATTCCATCAAGCAAAATCCAGCGCTTATTATTATATGGATTTAACTCTATCTTATTTACTCTTTCCAGATATATTTGATGGTTATAACTGCGGAGACCATACATATCATGTCGGGTTAGCTTCCTAGTCCTTAGACATTCTAGAAATTTATCATATCGAAGCTCCCTTTTGACCACGCATTTCTTAACACCCTTTGCTTTTTGGATGTCATGCTTCTTTTTAGGATCTTCAGAATCTGGATCATTGGGAGTTTTAGGATCATGTCCTGCTAGAAGGACTGAATACATCTTTGGTTTTAAACATACTGATTCGCCTATTGGATTTTCCTTTGTCTCATCCTTCATCAGAAATAAGTCACCTGAATAATCAAGATCAAAAATGTCTGGCCTTTCTGCTCGATCTTTATATATGTCCTCAGTTTCAATAAGCATGATAAGTGAATCTGTATCAATATATAGTAAATGGGTCTTATCTCCATAGCGAGGTTTTATGTAACTATACCAAAAGTTGAACATCATGGCCTTGCTAATGTCGAGAATTACCTGTCCTACATAGATTGGCTTATTTAGAGTACCTGTGCCTTTTAGCATATGTATAGCTGTTATGCCTCCCTCAAAAGCTTTAAAGCCTATATATAATGGTGAACTTGCTAGGCGCCTGATTTTTTTATCCTCATTTGTATGAAGTAGCTCTACTCTCATATGCTTGCGAACATTCTTCATCTGTTTACCAAA